AAAAACCTTGAAACATTAAGTGAGATCAGTCTTTAGATAAGATCATTTAGGTCTGAAAGGCCTAAAATTATTTTAGATTTCTTGAATACACACTTCTAATTGATATTTGCAGTAGCCTACTGCACTTTTGGTCTTGTGGGGTGCATTGGGCTTTTTTGGATACATAATATCTCATTTTGAGGTATTTACTACAAGGCCAGCTGCCTGCATCTGATTTTAAAATTCTACCCAATAGCAACGACTGACAGCAAACCCCTTCTCCCCTACACTTTAGTTTGGATGTTCCAGATAAGTCTTTCAAATAAGGAGCTGCAAATGCCTAACGTTATTTTGATACAACATGCCTTTACATTAGAAATTAGGCATGAAGTTATGAATCAGGGCTTAATTCAACCTAAAACCACCACTTTATGCATGCAAGTTGGAAAACATATAAATCCAGCATGGAAAAATGTCAGTAGATGACCTCTTTAGGCGAACACACAGAGTAAATTAATAGCTCAATCTACAAGAATCATTTTGTCTGCACACAAAAGCTCACTACTAAACATCAAAGTTAGAAACTTTATCATTTGGTTTATAAACACACCTGATGCAATGTGGGATAAACATTAAATCCAGCTAGCTTGCATTTTTAAAAGTCATGTGGGAATGGTTCACTGCATAACAAAAGCACGTGCTATCAGCCTAAAGCAGTATCACAGAATCAGTGAAACACAGCATAACTGACGTTGGAAGGGGCAGCCAGTATGCTAAATGCTGAAACAAATTCCATCAAATGAACATTCACAGTGTAAACAACTTTTAACAGCACGAAATTGTATAGAATTTTCAGCTTTAGAAAGAAAGAAACCATTGCATTCACAGAGAGAAAGGAAAATTGTCAGTCATGAATATTAACCTAACCACACTATATATGTGTTCTGTAAAACATGAATTGTTGAGAGGCTTTAGAATTTATCCTAAAATCTGAGATAAAAGAGGCTGAAGTTTTCACAACCAAAAGCCAGTAAAATATAATGCTTGTCTGAGAAATCATGATATAGACATTAAGAAAGCATCATAATAATTTACCCAGTACCACCTGAGTCAAATATAACAGGTTGCAAAGGTATTTGAAGAGTTACTGTAAAAAAATACCAAACCAAACAAATACCATGTTCAGCTTGAACCTGTCAAATCACCCTTTATCACAATAAATATTTATGTAATCATAATTTTGAAGCAAAAGTTTTTCGGGAAATTACACTGTACCAATAGAGTACTGTGAGTGACAAAACTACTGTTATTTAACTATTTAGAATAACTATCCACTGGTGGCTGCTGGTACTTATACTGATTTCAGGGAATCTGTTGATACGCGCTTTTGCAAACCCAGAACAGCTGCATTGGGGCAGGGCTCAATATCAATGTAAATCAGTAAATATAGTATAAGTAAATTAATGTTCAACCAAAGTACAAATAAACAATGATAATGAGTCATTTCTGTCTTTAAAACTTCCAGAAAAATTATAATGTAACATGAAATGACATACCAAAAAAGATTTAACTGTAATAATCCACTATTCTGTGTCCTGATAATCCTAAAAGTCTAGTATTTCAACATTGTTATCCCAAATGCAGCAATATACCACCTTCTTCCTGTAATAATATTCACCCCAAGGTAAAGCAAAATAAATTAACAATATAGTCAAAAGTATAAGGACATTTCTTGGGAGAATTCCTAGCACTAATAAAATTGCATCTTCAAGAAATGTCATTACCAGATTTTGTTGATGGCATTTCTGGAATAGCAAAGGTTGTGGATCTTGAAGAAATAGGCTGTGTTTCATCAGAAGCTGAAAAGAGAATCTGAGTTTTAAAAGTTGCATTGGTATCAAAGCCACTAAAATACCACACTATCTACCTGCCAGTTGTTGTTCTGTAAAAGAAAACAATTATATAAATAGAAATCAAGACCGTAAATGGCCTGAGAGTCAGCTGGAGGACGACTGACAGAAAAATAACCAAGCTGATGTCTCCTATGCTATGGATACAACATGAGTCGATCAGAGTGTTATTGTCCTGTCTATTACATTTCCAGGACACAGAATTTGTATCCTCTCAAAGAGCTTTGGTAGAGAAAATTCCAAATAAGTACTAAACCTACATGAAATTGCTTACAGTAATATACAACTATGTTACTCGGTCTGAGAATGCTTTCTCCTTGCCACTAAAAAGAAATAGTTGAAATGAAAGTACTGCACAAGAAACCTGAGAGACACATTTTGTTTAAAGATAATGACTTTGATCTTACTACAATCCATGGCAGTGATGAGAAACTGGAAACTACAATGCAGGAATGTGCTATTTATCTTTCGCTATACATCTGCTTATCAGTTAAGGAAGAGACATTGAGCAAAGCTGGTCTCTGGGAAGCTAACAAAACAGCTAATGAAACAGAAAGAATCTCGAGGTGCTGAGGCAGAAAGTCTTCACACGGGTGGTATCAAAACACTTTCCTGAACGTAGCTAACAATTTCATATTTTACCCAGGGATTGGATTTTCCCTGCAACTGCCACAAATTTACTTAGAAATAAATAGGATTATTGAGAAAGACTCCCCTTTGGTAGAAAATGGCTTAAAAACATCTTTATGCTTTTATGACAATATTTTAATGAAAACACAAATGAAAAAAAAAAAAAATCAGATTCTATGAGATCATTAAGACCACCATTTCCATTAGAAAAATTATGCAGCTGGCATGCAAGAAACATGGTCTGTTTCTAATGGACAGTGGTACATGGAAAAACTGAAGAGTAGGTGCTCTTAGAATCATAGAATCATTTAGGTTGGAAAAGACCTTTAAGATCACTGAGTCCAACCATTCTCTGGATGTTAAGAACACTCATGACTGATTAAAGCTGAAAAACAAGTAATAAGAAATCTAGGTAGGTGGATTCTTTACATCAAGAGAGGAAGGTGTGGTAGTTATGAGAGAACATGCTGCAGAGAGCAGTAAAGTCACACTTTCTTTAAAGTCACAGTGCTACTTTTTTGATTAGCTGCTAAAAGTTTTCCATCTAATGAATTTAGTTTGATTTGACTGAAATGACCTTGGATGAAAGAGTTCTCAACTTTGAAAGGAAACAAAAATATTGCATTCATGCAGAGGCAGCATAACTGTCAGTACCACCCATGGAGTATTAACACAGCTGCATCAAGTTTGTGTTCAGCGTGAATTCTGTAGCAGATAAAAGCTAAGACTTTTCTAAATTTATCTGTGATGAGAAACTAGAAGAACACTGACCAAAGTTTAACAAATAACACTAGAGAAAATGTGTACATATGTTATAATAAACTAATCTCCAGATTACAAAAAAAAAAAGTTAATGATCATTTACCCACTTCATTGCTGTCAGATGTAAACAGGTTTGAAAGGCACTTGAATAGTTACCACAATAGAGAAATATGTCTTTTTCATGTGTAGGATTTTAGATCACAATGCCTCTCACAAACATATTGCTGACAAATTCATTTTTCTGTAGCTGAGTTTACTAAATCGCACTGAATCAATACAGCAACAAATGCAAGAAGTTGTCCATTTAGTACATTTTAGAATTACTACAATGAAAAATCATCAGCACTGAGCTGAAATGCATAACTTGACAAAAAAAAACATAGAGCTGTTTTACACTGAAGACTCTGAGGTCTGATATACCACTGCTTTATACCTTGGGCAGCTACTCATCCCTGCACACAGTGGATAACCCACCAAATCGACTTCAGAGCAATTCATCCACCTGTTCTACTAATTCTACATCAACAAAATAAGAGCACAAAAGTGCAGATGAGTGGAAAACACAGGTCTGAATTAATTTTACATTATTTGAGATTTATGTTCTACTTTAAATGTCCTGACCAGTGAAACACAGCCTTGCTATTCTGGAAGTGTTTTACAGTTCATACCACCCAGCACTTCTGAACTTGTGCAACTAAGGACCAGATCCTTCAGTGAGAGTCTTAATATTGTGTCTGTTCATTTATTAAATGTGGAGCATCCACAGTCCTATGCTTCCATGTAATCTGTGACTGTTAGTTCAACACCTTTTCATCTTTGACACACAAGTACTTATGTAAGTGCATTCAAAAAGATTAATGCTCATTGCCCTTACAATACTGAACACCACTTGTAAACATATCAAGAGATGAAGAAGTAGTTTCCAACAAATTTCTCACTCAGAAGCCAGCACTGTATATGCTTGCCTTGTCTCAGCATAGTATACTGCAGAATCAAGACAACTGATTTTAAATTTGGGCCCCAGAAAGAGAATGATATTTAATATAATATCATTTGCTTAAATCATCCTAGCATGAACAAAAACACAGATGAGAACCTCAAAGCAACTCTCTATATTTTTTTTTTATGGCAACGTTCTGAGAAAAATCTCATGCTCAAATAAAAATGCACATATTTTGCCTAAAAAACTATGTTCTCCATAAATACATGTGGAGAAATAATATACTGTTAGCATAAATAACTGTAAAAATTATTTTTAATACTAAAATGCTGTACTGTAGCAGTCTTTTGAATATTAGAGACTGAATAAAAAAGCTGTAACAGGAAACAAATCTTCAACCAACAAATCTGTTTTAAACGTGCCTACTACCTAAAGAAAAAACATTCCCTCCCCAAAGGATAATTGCTATACTGACAACCCCAAAATCTTCAAAACTCAACAGTTTCCTCTCATCTGCTTAATTCTGTCACACTCTCTCCCCCACAACCCTTCAGTAATATGATATTACCCTGAAACAGCCAGATCATACCAGGATCATATACTTGTAGCTAGTAATGTTGGACACTAGCAAATATTACAAAAAACATTAAGCCTTAATAAACAAATGAAAGATCACTGCAGGCAACATTAAAAATCCAGGACAATTAACAAACATTGGAATAGTACTACCTAAGTATCAAGAAAGATCAAGGATTAGAAATAAAACAAATGTCATTTACCAGTCTCTTGCTCTGACATTTTTGCTGATGTAGATATTTGGGGAGTGGAAGTTACATGAAGAAAGTCATGTGAGGCTGGAAAAAAAAATTGTGATTTATTATTTAAAAGATATGTGAACCATCACACCATGGCACCATCTGCAACCATGGACTTGATGGTTTAATGTCCAAATAATAAGGAACTGAAGAAACATAAAAATATGTTCTGCAAAATAAGCAAGAATAAATAAAGATGTTAATATGCAAAGATCTGTAAAAACATATAAATATGATGCAAAAAATGAAATGGAATGTCACAATTAGACTGAAAAAAAATCCCATAAAGTTGGTAGGAATGCAAGACTGAAAAACCTCAAGAACACTGGACAATGAGAGGCAAAAAGAAAGCAAATTTATGAGATGATACTGAAACAAATCCAATTAAAAAAATTGGCAAAAATAAAAGAAGCAAAAAGTGTTCCAGACAATATCACCAGACAAGGAAAGATAAATAAATATCCTTAGCCCCACCAAATTAATCTTCTGTCATAATTACAAGAATATGATATCTCCAGTGTAAAGACTCAGAAAAAAAGGCTAAGAAAAATCCTTTAAGTAATTCAAGGCAAGAAATGTACCTTCTCTACAAAGGACCCTGAACTCCATCACCTATGCCAGCTGGTATGAAAGCAAGACTGCTAGAGACAAATGCCACAGTAACATTACAAGACACTTAATATGGTTCCAAAAACTTTTAACTCACACTCGCCTTCAGGTCTGTAGGTTTACCAGCCTGCTCAGGTACTGCTTTGTTGCCTCACAGGCCAAAACATACCGCCAGGTCACAGAACTGGTCTTGTACACCTGCCAGCGTGAGAGAAGCTATCTCTATGAGCATCTCCAACCGTTGCCACCAAGTGCCATATCCAGTGCCTTAAGAAAATATGGCTTTTCATGTACGGTTGTTTCATCTCTGCACTTACGCTTCACATCAACATAGTCTCAAGAGAAAGAACAGTTCGTCTAAATGCACAACAATAACTCTTGGGACATTTCCCATCTTGCATTGTTACCAGATCTGCAAGAAATGTCGTTACCAAATTAGCTCGGCAGCATGGCCAGGCACCAAAGGCTGACGGTGTTTTGAATGTTGAAGAAACATGCCGTGGTTCACCAAAACATGAAAAGAGGCATCGTTCTTAAAACCCCGGTGTGACCTCAAAAGCAGCAGCAGAGCAGAGCACTCCCACTTCCAGGTGATGGCAATGTAACCGTGTGGGCAGGTGACAACCGACCACCCTGAAAGTCAGTGGTGAAGCAACCAACGGCTGCGCCCTTGGACCAGGAAACCCCGGTGGGCAGCTGAACTGCAGTGCTGTCCTCCTGTGCCAGTCCAGCCTGCATCTGCCTCTTAAGAACGTTGTCACATTTGACTGTGTCGGAGAAAGGAAGACCTGCTACCAAAACACAGAGAAGCAGAGGAATGGCGGCTGAAGGCAAGGTGCGAGAATACGTTCTCTGAGCAAGCTGTCGCTCGGTCCCTGCAGAAAATGCTCGTCAGCCATGGAAAAAGCAAGAGATCAAAGAAAAGAATTGCAGAACAAGTGTGGTGCGTGCTTTGGCAAGCCAACAAGCTGCACCAACAAGTCTTCATACTCTCCGTGGAAGATGACAAGGATGCCAGGTGGCTTTGGGTGGAAGGCGTGATGGGGAGCAAGAGAGAAAGGGAAAATGATCAAGGAGGGGTTTTGCTAGTTACCCATCACAGTTTGCTTGGTTGCCAGAGAGGAAGGAGTGGTGGACTTCAGCCTTGGTCTTCGAGTAGCTAAGATCAAACACAAAAAACCACCTTCAGGTCCTCAGACAGGCTGTTGTCGCGTGGGTACTATCAAGACAGAGCTATAAACAAGGAGACGTGGCCCTGCTCGGGGCAGGCTTACAAGTCACAGCATCACTCCCCATAGCAGCACAAGGCTATCTTTCAACTGGCATAGGTAGCCCAAGGTAACACAGTAAACCTAGAAGTAGAACCCAAAAAAAGGCAGCAGAAAGCTTACAAATGGAGCAATTTCTAATAAGGAGCCACAAGGGACCAACCACATCACAAACCCACTTTTCAGGACATCAAAGCACCTGAACAGGCTCACTGCTGCAGAGAAAAGCATTGCCACAGTTAGCAACAGAGGAAGGGAATCACTGGCTATTTACCCATCACAGTCCTCGTGGTTCTCGGCGAAGTAGACAAGGTAGATTCCAGGTCTGGTCTCTGGCTTGCTACGGTCAGACATGGAAATGATCTTGAGATATCCACACAGTCTTGCCACGGCAGTACAAGCAGCACTGGTTCACAACAGCCCAAAGGTCTGTATGTAGGGCAAAACATCCCTTCTCCTGGCAATATCTCAACACTCAGTGACCAAATCAGCAGGCAACCGTCTTGCACTGGTTGCAACTAACGCAATATTCTTAGAAACTCAGTACCTCAATGGCTCTCCACCAGCATAAAGATGGCGAAGTGACCACTTCACCAAAGCACTCCTTACATTTCCTTGAAAGATGCCAACAGTTGTTGCAGAAGAAGTATAGGAGTCAGAAGACTCAACTGGATTCAGAATTCAAGATGTGAACCTCACTTTTTCCCTAGAAACAATGAAATTCTTCATTCTGTGCATCACAAATCTCATTCACTGACACTAATAAAGCAAAGTGACTGTAGAGAGATGTCTGCAAACAAGTGATCAAAGACTATTTTTCTGCAGAATTCTAGCACATCTTTCAACCACTTACACTTGTATTGTCCATCATCCCATTGTATCCTGAAGAACAAGTAACTTCCTCGTACTCTCTTATCCTAATGTTGCACAAAGGAAATGCACAACGTAATACATAAACCAGTGTCAAATCTTGTCTATCTGTACTCACTCGTGCTGCTTATCTTTGCTATACTGTGGACTTGACTCCAGATGTAAGGGAGGCAAAACTGTTGGTGACAGTTTTCAAACATGCACAGAGATGAAGTTGGTGGTGGTAATAAGGAAATGGTGCTTAGTGACTTTCCTGGAATTTTTTTATATTCCCAACCTTTAGGAATTGAAACCCTTCTGTTCAGGTCCCTTCTACATGAACCTTTTCTATCAACATTCAATGACTCACTAACCAAATCAGTAACTGTCATTCTCCCATGGTTAAAAACTTACGGGGTATTCTTAAGAACAGCAGACAAATCTTTTTCCACGTATGGAGAATTGCATTCAATATACTAAAGGACCAAATCTGACATGTTAGCACTTAGTTAACTATTCCAAATAAGAGGCCTCCATATATATACAATCCTTCAAAAAAAAAAAAAAAAAAAAAAAGGATGACACCCCCAGAAAACTATCTGGCTAATTGTTTACAAACATCAGAAAAAATAATTTTATAATTCTAACACTTCATTCCAAATTTCTCAAATGTTGCAGCAGATACAACAGGTCTGTCTCTCTCCATGTACTCTTTTATATGAAGCAAATCAGAATAAACCCTCCATTTAGCGAAGTGTTGCTCTGTCTTTTGAAAGACTGCCTAGATGTCAGGAAAACTACAGTTAATACAGATATGATTACCAGCTGATATTGGTGGCATTTCTGGCATGCCAGATGTTGTGGATCTTGAAGGAAGAGGTTTCCTTTCACCTAAATCCAAAAATATTATCTTGTGTTAAAAAGCTTGACTGCCTCAGAGCTACTATGGATAGCACAGGACTCAGCAGACAAACGTTGCGCTGTTAAAATGGAAGGACAGGGAAATTTGCTTGCAAATCAGCTAGATGTTACTGCGTCTCACAAACTGTTAGGCAGGTGTGGAAGTCATTGTGAAAACCACGTGACCTAATTATTCATACTAATGAGAATTCTTATGGCTACTCAATAATCTTAGTATATTAAAAATTGCATGTAGTAAGAAAACACCTTTTGATCCAGAAAACGGTCAGTGGGCTAGCCAGTAGAAAGATAGTCAAAACAACCTTTTCACAGAAACGTACACAGAAATATATGTTAAGCACTTAATTCCCTCTCACAGATAAGTTCTCTCAGCACAGGGAAAAAAACCCAAAACTGAGAAAGGCAGATCCACAGCTAGAAACCTCAATGAGAAAACCAAACCAAATCAACCAAAAGGAACCCACCTCTATGCCCTGACCCTCCATCTACAAAGATGAATTAGTGCAGATGAGAATCTAGGTAATGGCAACAATAAATGGTATGAATTACTGGGATGGTGACAACTAAAGCAATGCAAAGCTTCTAAACACAGCAGCAAGGATAAGAACAAAAAGAAAATCTTCACAACTAAACCACGTAATTTCATCAATTTTACCCAGTGCCGTTTCTAACAACTGAGGTTCTGTAGCAATTGTGGGCATGGGTATTTCCAACTCAGTAGTATCGCTAGCTGCAGGGGAAAAAAAAAAAAAAAAAAAAAAAAAAAGTAAATACACCTCAGAAATAACTTCATATAAATAAATTAAGATTTTGGGGTGAGAAATTTTACCTTCCAATGATCTGTGGAGTATTATTTTTTAATTTCTATTTATTTAATTGTATACCAAATTAACCACCTTCTTTCTAAGTATTTCAAGTATCCTCACTGACTACTTAGCTGAATGTATTATTCCAGTTTTTCCATGCGTGCAAATGTTCACAAAGAGTTAAAAAAAAATGCTGATATAGTTTTACACATACATGACTTAAATAGCATCTGAAGAAACAGCTTTACAACTTATACCATATCTTTCCATGAAGTTAAGAATTCTTCAGCAAATTTAGGAAAAATTGTGATTTCAGGTGATTAAAGTCTCTCAGTATCACTTCATTAAGTCACTTAGCTCTATGCAGTTTCTCAATTTCAGCCAATTTTTTTCAGTCAGCTTTGGTTCCAGGTATCCCATATAACAGAACGAACTAACTTGATTTAAAAACATTGCCTGAGAGTAGGGTGCTTTATAGAACAGTGAAGCAAAACTGAACTCTTGAAAAAACTATATTGGGATGCCAAGAATCAGTGGGTTATACAGTAGAGAACTTAATAAACTACAGCTGTATTGCTGAAAGTAAAGCCCTGGATAATGAACTGCTTTCCTTTCACTTCCACCTCCTCCTACCCTTTACCCATTGCCCTCACCTCTTAAGCGCATAATTGTTCATGATCAAGCAATGCTTAATAGCATGCTCACATATCAAAGGCTAGAGGAAAAACATCAACCTATCTCCAAAGCTGTAACCCAAAGTATAGCTTATTTAGAAATGTCTGGCCTGAGATATGTTTATTTTCTTATTTTAAGACAATACATAGGAAAAATCCCAGCAAAATCTATATTGACATTGAAAAACAGAGAGAGAGAGAGAGAGAGAGAGAGAGAGAGAAAGAAAACAATTTGATCACTAAAAGATATCATACCTTACTTGACTGTAATAGTCTTAAGCCTTGCAAGATTTAAATCTTTTCCTGACACACCCATTTCATCGGTACTGCATTATTCAGGCTCTGTAAGCTAGTTGAAGTCTTGCTTTAAGCCTGTGCTATGCCTGATCACACGAACAAGGATTTGAAAAACTAACACATAGGGCAACATCCTATGCAAGAAGTATGGAAAAACTGTCCGAAATCATCAACATGGAAGCAATAAAAAGAAAAAAAACAAACCAAAAACCAAACACCAAACTCTTCAGCACTAACCAACCAAACAAAAGGGTATGTTTCTGAAATAATGTTACTATAATTTACCAGTGTCTGGTATTTCTGAAGCTGTAAAAGTTTGGGGAGTAGAAGTAACATGAAGAAAGTCATGTGAAGCTGGAAAATAAAAACAAAAATCATGCTGTATTGTATTGAAGTGACAAGAACCATCATGCAACAGCATCTATTCTTTTATGAGTTGAAGAAACTCCCAGATAATATTTAAAACATTATGTTCTGCAGAAAGGTAGAATCTGAAATAATAATTAAGTATGAAATTACCAATTAAGTATGACTTGAAAACAATATCCGCACCCATGCATTAATGCACAGATATATAATGCAACTAATGACCAAACTGTTAGCAGAATCACACAAAAAAATGTTGAACTATAGAGTTAAAAAGGAGAAATACAAGGCCACTCAAAAAAAAAGAGAACAAATAATGAATAAAGATTAGCAAACTGGGACTGCATGGAATTTTTATCTAGAATTCCAAGGATCAAGGAGGAGGATATCCTGGTACTGAAACTGAAGAAGGAAAAAGGATGACAAAGCAGGAACTGTACCAAACGAAGCATAGAAACTGTATTTTGTCAGACACATGAACAGCTGACATTTGCAATCAGTAACCCCTTTAGTAATGGATTTCCTTCAGAAATTTATTTCTTCCAAAAACATATTAATCAGGCATTACACTACTAGCACGCTAATGAAGTGAAATCTTTCCAACTAGCTCTCATCTTACTATTTTTTTTTTCTCTTCTTTTGGATAACTGTCTGTGGCCCCAAGCAGATAACTAGCTCTTACAAACTCGTCTATAAAATAAGAGAAACACATGATAGAAATTTTCTAAGGACCAACTAGCTGGTGTCTGAATGTTTAATGACATGTTTTTATAGTGTCAGTTTTGAAATCTGGGCACTTAGAATTCTGTCTATGGTTATACAGAAAGGCTAAAAGAAGAGCTACATTTTTAAAAGATGTTGGAATTTCTGCAGCTTCCATTAATTTCTTAGGAATCCAAGTATTTCAGTAAATCAGGATATTCCACTTATAAAACTCAGGTGTGAACAAGCCTGTTTAAATTTAGTATTTACTGTAAGTCTGATTTAATTTTAAAGCTAACAATTACATGCTGTAGCCAAATATGGAAAAATCTCCAAACTACTAGTGTTTCATATAAAATGTCATAAAGAAACTGCTATTTGATATAGCACTTTCATAACTGCAGTTATTCATCATTTATGTCAAACTGAACAAACTATTTAATGAGAGGCACTATGTCTTGTCTGAAAATTCCTAACTGTCAAGAGGATTAATCTTACGAGAAATCATTACCAGATCTGGTTGGTTGCACTTCTGTGGTACCACATGTTTTGGATCCTGAAGAAACAGGCTGTGTTTCCTCAAAAGCTGAAAAAAGAATCTGAGCTTAAAATGCTGAGACCTGTGACTTCATGGATTAACATCAAATAGCTTAGTGAAGGCTGCGCAATTCCAGATGATGCTAACGCAAAGCAAAGCAAGATGGCAGATGGCCTGAAAGCAAGACATGAGACAACTGTGCCATGATAAAGGAGATGATGGCTTGCAACACAGTCTTCTGGCCTCAAGATATGAATTCCACATGCCTGAAAGAATTCTCATCAGCAAGGAATTTTATCTTATTAAATTTTCTGGGCTAAGATCTGCAATTGCAGGAAAAGAACGAAGGTAATGATATGATGGCACTGTCTTTAAGCAGCTTTTAAGCCAGTAACAAGCATGTTTTTTCAGCTGGTTACATAGACACAAGAATGATGAATAAGCAGCTCTCTGTGAGTGTTGGTAGCTGAGATTCTAAAGCAGATCTTAACATTACTACTTGTAGATCTACATGATGCTAAGATAATGGGAAAAAATCATGGAACTAATCTGCTGATTACCCATTTCCATCTCTCTGGTTTCTGCAGAAGGTAGAGATACAGATTTCAAGGCTGGACTCTGAGTAGCTAAGAGCAAACATGAAAAAAAATTTATGATGCCAAGACAGACGCTCTCCTTGCAAGTGGTACAAAATCTAATTTCAACTGTAAATAGCAAGTTTTTGTTTGGTTTGAAGGTCTCTTCTTTCTATTATTTTTTACCCTATTCAAACTCTGGTACGCATTATCTAATTAGGATGAATCCATATTACTTAAGATGTTTTTCTTCACATCAAAGCAGCTATAATTCAAACCCAATATATTTGATCTTCACAGTACTTGCAGGTCTGTATAAACTGGTTACTATTACATTATGCAGAATTATTTTTAAAAGAGGTGTAATGGGAAAAGATAAAAAAAGAATAGCACAATGAAGTCAGAGAAATAATCATTAGTCAACAGTATCTTTTATCTGTTATGCTATAATGAAGACTATTACAAAGACTTTACGTTTATTTCACTTTCAAGTACAGATAACCTGAAGTATGCTTTAATGAAAACAGGGCATCAAGGTGGAATTGAGCAGTCTTACCTAAAGGCCATCATGAATGAGTATCTACCATGTATTGGTTTTGCACTACTGTCCTGCTTCTAAGAAACAGTTCCTATTCAACTGTGTGTAAAGTACCATTTACAGTAAATTTATCTACACCAGTCACTTATGCCCGTTTAGGTTATAATATATCTGAAAGAGAAAATTTCCATCTGTATTTTTAATTGGTCTTTATCAAGATGAGGTTTTTTGAAAAGCGGTTATACCAACATTTTAAAATTATACTTCTCTGAATACTTGAGATTAAGCGTTCAAACAAGTAGGTGTAGGGTTCATTTCTATTATAGGCAATATGAATATAAACCAAAGAGTGAACAGACTTCTATTTCATACATTGAATCTGCTTCCCATTTTCTTTCAATACATCTTATCACATTAACAAAGACAATCCCAGGTTACTATCCTGATACAGTTGGATGCAGCAGTTGGACCAGATGATCGTTGTAGGTCCCTTCCAACTGGAAGTATTCTATTCTGTATTTATAGAGAAAAAAATAATACCAACAAAAGCCATATGATTCACAGCTTTTGGCAAAAGCTTCCATTGATTCGTTTGCATCCACTAAGAACTATGAAAGATCTCTCAACGGCATCAGAACATTGAAGATATGTTAACAAAGCTATCTTTTCAGAAAGGTTTGAATTCAAAATATACTGACCACACAGAAAGTTTATAAAAGAAGGTAGGTGTCTCCCTCTGGTACAATCCAGATAGAAAAATAAAGGAAAAAAAAGGCCTCAGGGGAACTAGGACAGAATATAGGTCACACACACTTGAACTTCAGAAATTAAATTTTTCTTTCTCTGTTGATTTTACGACAGCAGGTGATCAAGGCATGCATTTGTCTTACTGTAAGAGTAAAACCTAGACTAATGATGGTTCTTGAATTAGATAGTTAAGATTTCCATTACACTAACAATAAATTTTTAGCTCTATATACATATATCTATATATGCATATGTGTATTCATTTATGTAAATACATACATCGATACATACATGCAAATGTGTGTATAAATATAAAATATAACTTTAAAAAAAAAAACCAAGAAGAGGTGTGCTTCTTCTCCGCCTGTAAGAGTATTTTGATGATAACATTTTTGACCCTAACACAGGTAAAACTATTTTCAAAATGTGAGCCATGCCATACTTTCTCAAATATCAGGTCTTTCTAAATTATCCTGAAGTTCATCACCAAACAACATGAATCCAGAAATAAACAAGCATTTACAACACTTCTTTAAACCACAGTATCTAGCAATTATGGCACTATTTTAACCAAATTTACAAGTATTTGGCAAACTACATGAAAACCCACAAAACAGTACTCCAACTGTGAAATAGAGTCAGTCTCAGAAGCTTATGGGGTACTTCCAAGAAAATTAAAAGAGTACAGATTTTAGAAAAGTATAAATTGCCACCATCAAAAAGTTAGGCTGTATATCCTAATGAGTTTGTGTTTATTTGCTTTTTAAAATGAAACATTCATCTGGAGCATCCTGTCACAACAATGAAGCAAAACCAGACTTAGAATGTAAGAAGAAATTTGCAAATTTTATGAAGAAAAAGCTAATGGCTACCGTATTTTACATACGGAATGTTATTGCAGCTGAAGCATTAAAACCTACCAGTCACAGAACAACAAAAGAATTAGATAATTTTCTGCTGAAGTTTACTCAAATTTACAAAGAAAGTAATTACCAAGTTCTGTCAACGGACTTTTTGGAGCATCAGAGATTCTGGATCCAGAAGGAAGTGGCTGTATTTCATTAGAAGCTATGATAAAAGAAATAATCAAGGCTTTACTTAAGAATTATTAAAAGACACAGTATGGATATATATTTTGGCTTATAAATCACTCCTGAAATGAATGGAATTTAATAAAAAAGAAAAAAAAAAGTAGTTCCAACCTAGAAAAAAAAAAGAATAACTTTGTTACTTAAAAAGGTGTGTGGAATATGAACGAAATAACTTTTTCCCTTATCATAATATAAAGATTCATCAATCACAAGAATTTGGTGATTAACATCCATCAGTAACTATGAGCACCTAGTTTGAAATTAAGCAGTGACACATCTTGATTAAATTCAATATTTTAAACTTTAAAAGCATGGCAAAAACCAAGCAAGATAGATTATGCTAAAAAAAATTCCGATTAAAGGTTAGAATAAAAATTAGATTGATCATTTAGCTTCAGTAAATTCTGGAAATCTGCTTGCAACTGTAAATATTAAAAAAAAAAAGACAAAAGAGAGAGTATGACATTAATGTGAGTCAATAGGATTATGTAAAAATACATTTATTGAAAAGCTTGAGCAGTCCTCTTCATTGGGAGATCTGTATTTCAGTCCTCCAAATGCTGATGAACTTTTCTTTATCATACATCATCTGTAAGTATGCCATCTGTGCTTTAGAAAAATCTAATCAAAGTTTTAAATATATATATATATATATATATATAAAAATATAAATATAACCTCAAGTTTAGATTTGTGTTTGTAATTTTGTATGATTTGGAGATTAAAATACAGGCAACAAAAGCAGCATTGGAAAATTTAGAATTCTGAATGCAAGAAGTAAGTAGATGCTGCTCCAAATCACCAAACTGGCAATACTACTACTTAGATCAGAAATCTGTCATTCTGAGACGTGTCTATGAAAAAATCAGTAGAGCTCTTTTTTCCTTCAGGACAAGTACAATTACGTCATGTCACATGCAATACAAAATTTTCCTTTTGCATCACCACTGACGCTATCTAAATGAATCTGTCATCATAAGAAAATCAAGGAAGTAATTATTCCAATTCTATCACAGAGGCTAATTTTACTAATGGAAATTTTATGTGATGTCAATCATGCAGATCACATAGACAGAAAGCATTACTTTGAAAAACACAATTGAATCACTCAGTCAAATCTGCTAGCAGTAATCATTTGTGTAACAGCCATGATGCAGCCAGAGCTAGATGCATCCTGCTTTATATTTCAAGTGTGAGCTGCTGCAAACACAAAGGGAACCAGAAATTTTAATTAGGATTTCCGCTGGAGTCAATAGAAAGAGTATACAGCCAGTAGTAGAAAAATTCTGCTGGAAGTGAAAAAAGCATTTAATGTACAAAGATAAAAAGCAGCAAAATTAGTTACCCAGTATGTTTTGAGTTTCAGGTTTAGGCGTTGATTTAAATTCTTCAGGTCCATGTTTTTTCTCAACCTGAGCTAGAAGAAAGAAGTTTTATTTTAGAATCCCTCTGAAATTTATTTATCTACTGCCCAAAGCCCACTGCTTTTCTTACCACCATTTTATGCCACCTGATTAGAGTAATTTCTGCAGCAGCTTGACTGATTAATATTTTCTTTTGTTTTCAGATGTGAAGTCTATATGATGTTCTGGATTTTTTTTTCTTGCAGTTTTACAGAAGCAAAGAAAAATGTAAGTCAGAAAAAGCAAAGGTAAGATCAGAAGCTCACACTGTACTTCTGTTAAAGCCTCCCAATTTCATTATGATATACATTATAAACAAGATCCGTCACACCACGAAGTGCACTTAAAATATTTTCCCTGCTATTCTGGATGGTTTTAATCCTTCTAATATAAAATTATCAGGAAAAGAATAAAGTTCCATCTATAATACCTAGACTTTTTCATTTTTCTAGTAATAATATAATAGGATTTTGACTTTCATTCATTCTTCTAATTCTAAACCTCCAGAGTAAAGCATGGGCAGTTTATTAAACAGCCATTGACTGTACCTAAACTGAATTGCTGACCATATTTCAATAAACTAATGTATAATTATACTCTTTCAGCTGTTTCACATAACATTTAATTCCTTGGTATCTAAGTCAAGATCATGTTGTTCCTCTCCATCTTGCTGGAGGTCCTGCAGTGTTTAATCAGTCATACAGTAAACACAACTGGTAATCTCAGATGATAAAATGACAAAGCTTATTGATATGGAACACAGAATGGTACAGTCTCAGCCTTGAATATGATAAGAGCATTAATTTCTTCCACAGAGCAAACTGCACAGCATTTAGCACATGTTGGTATTTAGAGGACATCTTTAATATTGGTGATCAGCACTAATATAGCACTATTTTTTAGTATTTATGCAGGAACTGATCATGTAGGTTTAGAAGCTTATTTCATTTCCTGAAGAGAACACGGTGTTTTTCAGATTCTAAAGTTACATAGATGCTACTACAGTTATGATACAACCATTACACTATTTTACGTTTTGGAGCATGGTGCTTTTCAGTGCCACAAAAGCTGGAACCTCCACAGACACTGCCTTATTAGGACCCAACTCAGCTTCTACTAAGTCAGTTACAGTGCTGTTACTGTCATCAGTGGAAGGAGGATTTCATTCTACAGAGAAATTAAAGCAATTTATCTCTATAAAGCTTGTGGGAGAAAATTCACCCATAAGAAACCCAGGAACAACAACTAACCTGTATTATAGAAGTACTTCAAAAGTTAACGTTTCTTATTGGGGAAATGTAATGATGAAATAAAAAAGACCCTCAAAAACACCAAAAGCAAATACAGAAATTTAAAACTCATTATGTTTTGGGATTTTTTGGAGGTCAGATGGTTTACACTCATATGAAGCACGTCTCTTGTCAGCTAAGTTAACTGAGCAAGTTGAACAAGAAAAAGCATGACTAAAATAGAAACAAAGCTCCCCTCTGTTTTGTACAGAATATTGTAGGGATGATGTGAAATGACAGCAGACATTTTTGTAAAAAAAGGTACACGAAGCAAAAAGATTAGGCTTTAAAAAGGTAAATTAGAGAAAAAGATACTTTTCCAGAGCACCGGGTAAACTAGGCTTAATGTGCTGCTTCAATGGTAGCTGCAAAGTAGATGGTTAACATGAACACGCAAAGCTAATTACTATCATTGTGTTTAGTTGTAACAAATGGTTATATATCATTTGTCACTAAAAAGACAGTACTTGCCAATTATTATCATGTATAATGAAACACACTATCCAACTTCATAAACATGTAATTCTATGCTATGTGTAAGAGATGAAGATGTTTATGGTTAGAATTACTGCATGTCAGGTATTATGCAATTACAGAACACAATAATTACACCAAAATAAACATAATTGCAGAACACAAAGGACAGGAAAGGAAATGGACTGATTTCCTCCTTCGCAGGTGGTATTTCAATTCTGGTGCCAGATTTTACACTGTTTACCTGGGTAACCAATAAATTCCAGCACAAGGAATGCTAGTTTTATTGGATGAATGCAAGCCAGAGGACGCGGAATTTGCAGGAGAGCCAACTACACAAATTTATGCATTCAATTCTCATTTTCCACAAAATGGCAAAGTTCTATAAAATTGCTTGTTCTGTAGTTACTCAGACAATGTAAATAACTGAGTAAAATAACAGTAAAATTTAAGTCCACGAGAGACATCAAAATATAAACAAATAAACAAGAAAAATCTTTAAAGTTTTTTTAAAAAGTATCCATGCCTTTCCCATTAAAAGCAGGCTGTTTATTACACTTATGCTAAACTTGTAAAGTTCAGAGCCCTCTTTGACAATAAATTTCTGTGGAGGAGCATCTTTGTTTTCCTCTTAGTATTTACAATGAATAGAAAGGAGTGTATGTATGAAGGCTTTGCAGAAAGGAGCTGACAGTTAGAACTAGAATTTGGCAAATAGACTTATCTGTTGAGTGGAAAATAAAATTCTGCAAACATTTTCAGAGAAAAAAAAATGATGGACTGTTTAATTGAAAGGATGGTTATCAGTCATTACATGATTTTATGGCATTACTTCATCCTACAGCTCTTTTATTCCCTACATGTTCTTTGGGAGGGGTTTGTTTGTTTGTTTGTTTTAAAGACTGAGTTGGTCTGATGGCATAAAGTATGGTATATTCGATATACTTAAGGAATAAAATAAACACAGTCATATTTAAGGGCAGTATCTATGCTAATCGTGGGATGTAAAAAGAGTAATGCTCTACACCATTTCAGCCAGCCAGGAAATACTTTATAGATGGAATTGAGTAATGCCAGCAAGATCACATAATACGACTGAACTAAAGAAAAGCAAATCTTCACTGCATTGTTTCCTCAAACTCTATTTTCATTTTGAAGTCTTGTCACTGTTCAAGCCTCCTTTTTCCCTTTCAGCAAAGAAAGGAGAAGCTAACTATTGTCTCTAATGACAAAAGAATCAAGACTTCAGTCCTAGTTATGGGATAAAAGGCAGACTACAGAAAATCGATATAGGCATATGCCTACTTAAACAATTCCAAAATGTGGGGTGATAAAGTGGGAGGAAAGTCACTCTTAAATCATTTGTTTCTGAACAATTTCTTTCTCTCCAATCTTTTTGCTCTCAGACTGAAAATGTTAAAATATAGGGCTATACTTGTCATACAACTTAATAAAGTGGTCTATGTTACACTAATTTTTTCCCTAAGCAAATGGGGGCAGTAAATCTCACAAATTTTAAAATTTCACTTCAAGCTTTTGAACAATTTAAGAAATTAACATCTGAGTATGCCCTTTTAAATAAGTCATAATTTTTCAGCCTCAAGTAGATGATAAAAAACTTCAGTGTTCCAGCTACGCAAGCTAGACATATAACATTGAATAGGAGTCTAGGATCAAATTTTATATTCCTTTCCCACATTTGTGAACAGCTCCCATTTACTTTAATAGGACCAGTAAGTCCACAAAGAGTCTGGTCAAGATTAATGTGTTCAAAACTGAACTTAAATTTTTCATTACCTGGAAGGGACTGTGGGGATATTTCTTGAACTTCTGGTGTTTTGGATTCAGCAGGCCATATTCGAGTTTCATTCTTAGCTAAAGGGACAAAGATATTAGAGATTAGAAAAGCTGTATCTGCTCTGTTCTACTACAGATTTATTTCTGTCCCACTTCAATTTGCCAAAGGATAAATGTGGAAAGCTGAATACCTTTAGGAATCAACTAATTTCCATTGCACAATCAGTACAAGCATCTATCTCGTTATGTTAAACGCATGCATTTTTGGTATTGTTTTGTTCGTTAAAGATTCCTTCAAAATAAAATTTAAAATTTAAGGAATTTAATGCCCTATGAATCATTACTTTCACAGTGCAAGATAGTCTTCAATGTTTTACATCTGTCTAGCATATGAGCTCAACAGCAAATATGTTTTCAAAATTTAAAGACGTAATATATTTCTAAGCATTATACAAGAATAGTCTAATAAATCTTCAAATACAATGGAATTGTCACACTAGTCATGTCCTTATTTTTCTTTACATTACAACTAACAATTACAGTGGTATGACAATAGCCTTCTATTCCAACAGATATAAAAATATTCCAGCAGTGGATATCAGGAAAATTAATTCATTTTGACTTGAATAATACATCTGTTGTTTTTTTTTCCACTGAGGACCAAGGCAATATATTTTGTGGGGTTTTTGGGACTACTACTCGTAAAAGAAAAAAGCAAGTTTTGGACTAAGTAAACAAAATAATTTGAAAATTCAATAAAGATGATATTCTGTGATGCATTATTTTGACTTTTCTAAATAATACAGAATTAGAATTATTGCAGTATATAAAAAAAAAACATAATTACTCATAACTTCACACACAGCATAAGCTTTGTGCGTTTTATCGTAGACAAACATCGTTCCCAGGCATCAGTGGGATGCACAGTATATCTTATAGATTTGCACAGTATATGTTTTTGTCAATTATTTTACGCATTCAAATTATTTCTCAGAGTATTTTTGCTTTCCAAGCAATGACTCTTCCCTGTTTTACACTCCACTGAAATCCAGTAGTCCCTTGCGTGTACACCCACATGCTTCATGTTCTCTGGTAAGGAACACACAGTAAACAGAACAGAACAAAGCATCGCTTGTCTGCCCTGGTTATTTTCAAGGTGTTTGTGTAATCTACCATAAAGAGTGGCTCCAAACTGGCATCACACCAGCTATCTATTTTAGGCATATCAGGGCATTTAAATTTAGAAGTTCAAGTTCTATGCTCAGTCAGCTGAGGAAGTTGGACATCTCTAGAACAGTGAAGCTGCCTTTGTATTTTTCCCAATCTTTTGCTCAGAGTCACATTCTGGCATTTTTACTGTGCACACAACTAAAGCTTATAACCAATCTGAAAACACAACATTGTTTTCCTGCTGAAAGATACAATTATACTGGTAGGAAAGAAAAAAAAAAATTCTAGATATTGTAGTCCAAAATTAATATCGGAGGTCTTAAAATATGATTTAGAAAAAGTAAGGGATATGAAAACCAGTTTTGTCAAAATACTGGCTACTGAGATTTGATGCTACCATTGTTACCTGCAGATCATATGCATATTAAAACCAAGCTAGTAATGATAAACACCTTGTTTTCTATACTTGCTGTTCAAAGAACCTATTAGTAATCAAGTTAACTGATTAATTTTATCATCATGATTGAAAACCAGTAATGCTTTGTAATGTAAGTACTGCAATTAAGTTTTTCAACTTAGCTTACTTTTTTTTTTTTTTCTTATTGCAGAGCAAGCTAGTCTGAGAATGTGCCATGGTCAGCAGTGGAACAACAGAGTAAATTAAACAAAGCAGAAATAAGAAAGGAAAAAATCTGATCCAGTTGTTCAAAATTCAAATAAAGTATTAAGACTAGCCAAGCCAAAGGTCATCAGCTCCAGAACTCTTCTCAAGGGATCTGTGAAAAATGCACTGTGGACATTATTAAGGTTTTTAAAGATAGCTGTATTTACCACAGCTGTGCTATTCACAGATGATATGCCAATTTACAGATCTTAAACAAAAGCCTTGATTAATCTTTTTCCTTCAGGTTTCAGGCATATTCACAAGATACACCTGAAAGCTGTACTGCAATGTTCTAATTTCTCCTGCCATTTATTCATGAATTTAATTACAGATAATAAATAAAAATCTCTTAATGAAATAATTTCTCAAATATTCTCGAGAGAGACCTCACATAATTAAAATTCACTGAAAATCTAGTCTTTCAAATGGACAAATGAACTTTCATTTTTAAATGCATAAATTGAAAGATATAACATTAAAAAAAAAAAAGTTACATTATAAAACAAAATAAAACCCCTCAAGTTCATAAACATGACTGTTTTCCCTCCTTTCCTCTATGATCAAAGCTACTGCACATTCTTTTAAATGGCTGTGAAATACCTTAAAAACCTGTTCAGATACTTTAAAATAAGTGAATTCCTATGAATCCTTGTAAATCCAATCTAATAATTAATTAGACAGGGAAGGGAAAAAAAAAAAAAAAAAAAAAAAAAAAAAAAAAAGATGGGAAAAGGGGGAGGAAAAAGGACATTTCTGCTCGCATACATGATGTCTCATCGCTAGGATTCTGATACCACTCACAAACAATACAAGCTTAGTTCATTTCTGCTTACCCAATTTTTTCCTGGATGCTTGATGTAGGTCATCTATTGTCAGGAGAGGAGGAAGTTTCTGCTGAGTTTCATTGAGGCCTGGAACAATAAGGTGCACTACAAAGAAAGATGTGTGCCATTAATTCCAGAAGAGGTGAAAAATATAATTTTCCCTCTGAGATACGTGAACAACTACTACTGAACCATTGGGAGTTTAGTTTGAGTATCTGGGAAAATAGTTCTGTTCAGTAATTATCACTCCCATTTGGTACTATTCTCCTTTACACTACTCACTGTTATTACCACAATTTCACAATTAATCAGAATTGAAAACAATCCAACACTGGAGCATATAACCCTGGAGTACTGTGGTATCACAATTGCTGGGACATTCTGTCTGGTGGGCCAAGAAGGCCCAACACCAAATGCGGTTAGTGAGTATCTGATTCACATCAATACTTTAAAACTCACACAAAGCAAACTTAAGCCAAAGTTATATAAAGTATTTCCATACATATAAAGGACTAAACACCTTTCTGAATCCAGAAATAAATTGGTCACAAGTTGCACGATCCAGTGAGCCTTTCCTATCTATTTCAGGCAGACCAGTAGTTCACTACACTAAGCACTACATATTAGACTACTTCCCTGTTTTTATGTTCTAAGCCAATATTGTGTATTCTTATAGTCAAACAAGAACAGAAAGCATGAAACTGAATGGCTTGAGGGAAACAGTTATGTCCCAAGATCTAATGTCAAGCTCTAATTGCAAGGAACGTTACAATATGCTTCATTATCACATACTTCATATATAATATATTTCAATATCAGTACAGGTTTGTGTCTGTAGAGGGTACGTTATCATACCACCTTAAAAAAAAACCCAAAACCCCACCCTCATCTCAATAATATCTTTTCCACAGAACTTAACTTGAAGTATGAAAGAAGTTCTTGGCTTAAACAGTGACAATATTTTCTTTTAAATACTATGACAATAAAATGATTCTATTTCCCTTAGCCTACATCACCCTTGAACCATCTGTGCCACCATAAAATATAATGAATACAGCCTGAACCAGCTGCAAAACACCATTCGATATGCAGGGAAAGAACTATCGAGATCAAGAAAACTAGGAGTATTTACATAGCTCTAATTTTCAGCTGAAGATGAGGAAAAATATTTAAAATATCTTCTAGTCACCTAATATTGCTCCTGGCAGAGAAGAACTATCTGAAGTTTTTGACTGCGTCCGATTTTGAATAACTGTGGAGACAACAAAGAGATATTAGAAAATATTTTTAAACCCCCCAAACAAGAAAAAAAAACCCCACCTGAGACACGCCTCAGCATTCTGAAAATCTTCCAACTTAATAACTGGAGATGAGGACACCATCCTAATTTTTACGGTATTTACATTCCATTGAAGACACTGCAAACTGTGTTCCCTCTACATCATCTCTTAACTGTGCACCTCTTTCACCTAGCTTATCAGTTCTATACCCTTGGTGAAAAATTACATTCTATGCTTATGATAATATAAGGCCATTTCCAGGCCACCTTATTACCCTGCTGTTCACAAGTCTTCAAAAATGGATGCATGTGAAATAAATGTCAATACAGTCAGATTTTAATGATAATTACCATTTTTTGCTTTCACACCACCCTCCAGTGTTTTCCTGTCCCTGAACTGTGAACTATCTCCAAAGACAATTTGCTTGATTTTGTTACTTTAAATTATTCACAGTACAATTTCTGTTAAGAAATTCTCATCTACAGCTCATTTTCTATCAGCTGTCTTTAAGTAGTTAATTTTCAAACATTACACTACTATACTAACTCTCACTACTGGAGAGTAATGGACATTTCTAAAGGGCAATATGTTTAAGTCTACTGTAGACATCTCTCTCCAAGCAGGGAAAGGAGAAGAAGGGAGTCTAAGTTAATGACTTAGCTGAAGATACCCACCAAAAGGTTTGGTACAATGAATCTTACTCACACTGCTGCCCTTCATGCCTGACTACCAAGTTATGCACAACTGGGAGATTAACATACCTTGACAATCCAGTTGGAAGAGTAAAAGAATGGATACTAGCAGAAATCAGAACTGATTGGTATCCATTCAATGACTCAACTAAGTCACTGTTTATAACGCAGTGTAATAGCTCATTTTATTAACACAAATAGGTAACAGATTAATCATATTTGTAATCAAAGGATATGATAGTTTGTAAGGTTCCACCAATTCTAAAAGGAAACTTTCCTGACATTCACATCGCAGTCAGAATTTTTTTTTAATTTTAAAGTTACTCTTGCATAAGAATAATTTCAAAAAAATATACAAATTTACCTTGTTTGATTATTGTGACAGGGACCAACTTCTTATTATCACGCAGTGTAAGCTGAGAGAAGAAGGGGGGAAAAAAAGCATTGTGATAACTGCCATAATAGCAATTGAACTTTCTTAGTAACAGAGGGCTCTAATTCAATACCACACCTGCCCCAAGTTAACACTGGGTATGGCTCTGGCCCTAGCCACTGAAGGTTACACTACTGATTCAGTTATCATGGGCTAGTATAGTAATATTGCATTTTGACCTCCTTTTTTCAGCTTGAGATGTTTTGCTTCATAAAAACAAGGTATTTGGCAGCTTAAGAATTCACAATCTTCCCAATCCTTTGTTCTTTTAAGAATCTCTTGAGAATTCACTGGGAATAGTCCAGAAATCTAAGAAAAGCTGAAATTTAACTACACCAAAACATCTGAAACATATGCAATTACAAATTTGGTCAGAGGATATAATTATATTCTCAGAAATAATATAGTTAGAACACAAACTACTCCAGGACTGAGAATCACCACTATTGGGTGCACAGTCTGCTTGAGGTAGGTTAACCCAGAGTCATTTTATTTGATTACCTTGTTTCCAAAGTATAATTGCCCAGCCACCCATGTTGTTCTCACATTTTTATGCTAAATACTTGGACTTTTCTGATGTTTTCTTGTCTTTGACCCATAGTACTTTTTGCCTAAGTGTGAATCTTTTCCAGCATTTTCATACCACAAAAATAAGGAACATATGAATAAACTCCATATTTATTGAAAGGAAGAAAACAGTTGATCACAAAGATTATAATTCAGTATTCACTACCACACATGGGTACTAGAAACAATTTCTGAAAGCTTAAAAATACACTCAGGTGATGAGAGGAGGTAGACTGTAATGCCAGCAATATACAAATGCTAAATACATTAAAAGTGGATTTTTTTTCCCCCCAATTATATCTAATACTCAAACAATTACCTCTCTGTGTTAAATGTACACCCCTAAAGTCCGAATCAGTTCATGTTCATTTTTCACTTCATGAAATCTGGTCTACTTCATGTGAAAGAACACTCGCCACAAAAAAAAAAAACACATTTGATGACAAAGCTTTAATTATTTACCTAAGGATAACTATTTTTTCTCCATCCAAATATTGAAAAAAAGCTTTAAAAACAATCGTTGGGTACCCATCGAAGACCTATCAAAGTCTTAGAAACTGGGAGAAGGCAAATGTCAGTGAGGGCCCTTTCCCTCAGGGAAATGGATGGAGACTGCGTATTCTGTAAAAGCCATCACTTTCTGCTACCTAATTACAGTTTTGCATTGGCAAGAACATGGTTGGAAATTAAGTGGAGGTTCCAATCACTGTCATTAATGAAGAATACAAAATAATCTTTCTTTTTTTTTTATTCCTTACTATTTTTCTTTATTATTAACAAGGTTTAAGTTCTATTTTGCCATCTGGTGAAAAAATTGTGCTGCAGATGATCATCTTTTGAAATAACCTTGCTCTTCATGTGACAAACAAGTGGGATTAAATGCATCTATCAGAAGATGGTGTTCATTTTATTGTATTTCTCATCAGGAGCCCTACAATCAAATAAACAGCTCTCAAGTTGTAGTGAGCACTCAAGTAATTCCAGTGTGGAAATTCTAATCATAATTAGCAATCCTTTTACTAATAAAAGGTTCTTATATTGTCAAGAGCATCCTTTCTTTGTTGAGTAACAATGGATGACTTTCATGACAGCAATATGAAAATACTAAATACATTAGAATATATTCAGAATTTAGTTTCTCACTGAAAAAGAAATCATTGACATGAAATCCGTGTTCTGCAGCTGCTGTAATTACACTGTTCAGACGCATGAACCTGCAAATTCTGTACATGAAAGCTACCACCGTGTTGTCAATCCTCTCTTCTCAGGCTCCAAAAAGAGATGCCTTTAGATATTTCTATGTCTGCTTGGATAAACCATTTCAGAAACATCTGTAGGAATGGCACTATTAACTGTATTTTCCAGACAGAGAATATAAAGCATATATAGGTATTAGGAACATTAGTTATTAAAATGACTGTGGCATGTCCATGAATGAAGAACATGGGAAATACAGTATTTCTTACTTTCAGAGGAAAATTAGAGATGTAAGTTAGACCATAAGTCAGGCATTTTAATTTTTGACTATATAGCTACGGCTTATTGAATAAAAGGACTGCAGTCCTCAGACATTCTGTCAAGGAATGTTACTTTAAAAAACACTTGTTCTTTCTACCTTTCTTATATTCCAGTACTCCAAAAAGCCACAAATAACTGTCATACATGTAAGACACTCATCAAGGAAGCAATTACGGTCAACCCAGACTGAATATGTTTTAGAAAAGAGCAGGCATGTTTTCTTCTAGAGTTTAACAAGTGATAGAAGCTAGGAGTCCTGCTTTTTGGTTGGAAGAATGGAGAAGAACCCCACCTTTCAGACTGACATGAAAATACAAGAACCTAATCAGACAGAAGGGAAATCACTTTCTAGTACATTTTCTCTGCCATAATACCACCCATTGTGTATGAAGGGAAAAAGAATGACCAGCTCTAGAGCTCTCCTTTTCTTCCCCTCTCTCATTACTTGTAGCTCACACAGCCCCAGGAGCTTAGTCAAATTTAAAGGATGAACCTGCCAAAAGAAACACAAGCTAACATGTGACCAATGCTGAAAGGGCAGAATGACTAGATGGATCGGTAATGTTGCTTTAATAAACAGCCTTTAAAAATGCCTCCTTACAGAGAAGACTTAGGACCATGCTGATATGAGCCAATTGCGTCTTTGGAGCAAAATAAGACACAAACAAATCTTGGCGTAAAGAACATTATGGCTTTGCACCAATGATGAAACTGCACCACTGAAACATACCCCACCTAATACTGCGGAAACTGAAGTAATAAGGTAAACTTAAGAGCTGGCCACTACCTGCTTCTCAGCCTTAGTTTTATGGCTTTTTGCACCACTGAAGTGAGAACGATAAGAGAATTTTTAGAATAATCTATGGAATGTTTTCATGATATTCTGTGGAGGGTGATAAAGCAGTACTGCTCTGGAGCTAAGCCCTGTGAAGCTGACTAAAAAGACTGGATGTTGGCTCCAGTCCTCTTTTCATGCTTAAGCTGTGCAAATATTTGGAAAACTGTTTTAGCTCACTTTCTCAGGACTTCTCTTGCATAAATAGAATCCCTGCTTCCACAGAAGCAGCATAACAGAGTCAGGGTCCTGGCACACAAGGTTTGCTAAGAGGAATAAAGGAACTCTGCTTGCACTCCATACGCAAAATGAATTACCTGGTCTTAGGCTGTCACATGTAACTTTAAAGATACTTATGGGACCAATAGGAAGAACAGTAAAGTAGATTTCATCAGCACCATAATGAGATGAGAACCTTCCTGAATATCCAATCAACTAGCTTCATATTACTCACAGTGTCCTGATCCAATGTTGGGGGAGGTTTCAATACGATCCCAAGAGCGAGATTAAGACAAAAACGAGGTCAAATGCCGTACACCCAAAATAGGTTTTTATTAGTAAAAAAGTGAAGAGAGGTAGTGATAGGACAGAATGGAAGGAAAAGGCAGAAATGAAGCAAGGATGCAGGATAGGGCTGCAAGAATAATCACCACCATGGATCCAGTGGCGTCCCGTTGGTCCTCAGCCTTCAGTTCTTCGGTGGTGGGTGCCATGGGTCTGGCTTCGATGGTAGATGCACACAGATCGGGCTTCGATGGCGGATGCACACAAAGCAAGATTTTCTGCTGCCTTTTTAAGTTCATCATACGCGCTGATCAGCATATCTGCTCCCCTTTAGTTTTTTTTCCTCTGGTCCAACAGGTTTTGTTGCATCCAGCATCAAGGGTAGGAACATTTGCTTCTTATCAGTTCACTAGCAATGCGTGCATGGGGTCTGGCCTACATAATAGAGCCACAAACGGCTCCAGGATGGTGCCAGTTCAGTCACGTCTGCCCCTTTGAGGCTTATGTAAAGAGTCCGGACAATGCAACGCCCAAGAAGTGGGGGGTGCACCCTTCAATACACTCCCGCTTCCCTGGGCAGCATCCCCCAGACCAGTTCACAGGCCGCAGCAGCTTCTCTTGGAGGTTTGCACAGACACAAGCAAGCTTCGAGACAGTCATAGGACATTTCAGTCTCTCACACACAGATATAACTTTTTCTTGTGAATGTGAGACATGAATATATTTCCAATAACCTAAGCATTATACTGCCCTAACTGTCTACAATGCTATAATTAAAGTATTACTGTCCTAATTATTCCTACAGGAAAACATACATAATGGACTGTGGCTTGATTCCTGACGGAATTCCTGGTCTGATACTTACAGACAATTTATAATATTGTACAATATGAAGAACGAACAATGAGAAACTATACATGACCATTTCCTACCATGAAAACACTTGGAAAATCAGAGACAGAATTGTGAAGAACAGATTGTTCCCTTATAATAATCATCACTCATGAGTCAACCCTTTAAAATGTCTGAATCAGAGAATCAAAGAGTCATCTAGGTTGGAAAAGACCTTAAAGATCATCCAGTCCAACCATTAACCTCACACTGACCGTTCTCAACTCCACCAGATCCCTCAGCGCTGGGTCAGCCCAACTCTTAAACCCCTCCAGGAATGGGGACTCCACCACTTCCCTGGGCAGCCCATTCCAACGCCCAACAACCCCTTCTGCCAAGAAAAGCTTCCTAACATCTAGTCTAAACCTTCCTTGGCACAACTTGATGCCATTCCCTCTTGTCCTATTGCTTGTTACTTGGTTAAAGAGACTCATCCCCAGCTCTCTGCACCCTCCTTTCAGGGAGCTGTAGAGGGCGGTGAGGTCTCCCCTCAGCCCCCTCTTCTCCAGACTAAATCCCCCCAGTTCCCTCAGCCGCTCCCCGTACGACCTGTGCTCCAGACCCTGCACCAGCCTTGTTGCCCTTCTCTGGACACGCTCGAGTCATTCAATGTCCTTTTTGTAGTGAGGGGCCCAAAACTGAACACAGGAATCGAGGTGTGGCCTCACCAGTGCCGAGTACAGGGCTCAGATCCCTTCCCTGTCCCTGCTGGCCACGCTATTGCTGACACAAGCCAGGATGCCATTGGCCTTCTTGGCCACCTGGGCACACTGCTGGCTCCTGTTTAGCCGGCTGTCAATCAACACCCCCAGGTCCCTCTCTGACTGGCAGCTCTCCAGCCACTCCTCCCCAAGCCTGTAGCGCTGCTGGGGGTTGTTGTGGCCCAAGGGCAGCCCCCGGCATTTGCCCTTAGTGAAACTCCCCCAGTTGGGCTCAGCCCATGGCTCCAGCCTGTCCAGGTCTCTCTGCAGAGCCTCCCTACCCTCGAGCAGATCAACACTCCCACCCAACTGGGTGTCATCTGCAAACTGACTGAGGGTGCACTCGATCCCCTCGTCAAGATCATCAATAAAGATGTTAAACAGGAGTGGCCCCAACACCGAGCCCTGGAGGACACCACTCATGACTGGCCGCCAACCAGATTTAACTCTATCCTGGCTGAAATCAGGACAGTGTCCACACCTTATTCCATACCTTTTACATTATGCTCAAGTTCCAAATACATTCTAAGGCATCACCACCCCTTTCCCAGGTCTCACAGATATCATTCCCTCAGTCTATGGGCCATTCTGTAAAATGTCTACTGAGTTCATTTAGTCCATAACTTTGGGTTCCATCTGTCAAGACAGTCTTTAAGGCTCGAGGAATGAGGTGGTTAGCTCAGCTGGTGGAACAGGAGGCTTTGGATGTGGCAGGAGGATGCTGAGAAGCACCAAGGTTTAACTCTGTTCACCCTCTGGGCCCAGCCATCCAACCAGTCTTTTACCCAGCAAAGTGTGTGCCCATCCAAGCCACAAGCAGCCAGTTTTTCCAGGAGAATGCTGTGGGAAATGGTGTCAAAAACCTTATCAAAGTCAAGGTAAATAATATCCACAGCCTTTCCCTCATCCAATAAGCTGGTCACACTGTCATAGAAGGAGATCAGGTTTGTCAAGTAGAACCTGCCTTTCATAAACCCATGCTGACTGGGGCTGATCCCCTGGTTGTCCCTCATGTGTTGTATGATGGTGTTTAGGTTAAGCTGCTCCATCAGCTTCCCAGGCATTGAAGTCAGGCTGACAGGCCTGTAATTTCCCAGATCATCCTTCCAACCCTTCTTACAGATGGGTGTCATATTGGCCAATTTCCAATCAGTCAGGACCTCCCTGGTCAGCCAGGACTGCTGGTCAGTGATGGAAAGTGGCTTGGAGAGCACCCAGCCAGCTCCATCAGCACTCTCGGGTGTATCCCATCCAGTCCTACAGACTTGTGTGTGTCTGTGTGATGCAGCAGGTCACTGACTGTCTCCTGGATTGTGAGGGGATCGCTCTCCCAGTCTCTGTCCTCCGGCTGAGGAGGTTGGATTCCCTCAAAACAACTGGTCTTTAAAGACTGAGGCAAAGAAGGCATTAAGGACCTCAGGCTTTTACTCATCACTCGTTGCAATGTTTCCTCCTGCATCTAGCAGGGGATGGAGGCTCTCCCTGGTCTTTCTTTTGCTGCTGACAAACTTATAGAAACATTTCTTATTATCTTTGTTTGCTGAAGTCAGATTAATTTCCAGCTGGGCTTTAGCCCTCCTGATTTCCACCCTGCACAGCCTCACAGTCTCTTTGTAATCACTGTGAGTGGCTAGCCCCTTCTTCCAAAGGCTGTAATCTCTCCTTTTCTCCCTGAGTTGCAGCCAAAGCTCCCTGTTCAGCCAGGGTGCTCTTCCCTGTCACTGGCCTCTCTTACAGCACCTGGGGACTGCCTGCTCCTGAGCCATTAATATTTCCTTCTTAAAGAGTGCCCATCCTTTCCTGGACCCCTGTACACTTCAGGACTGTCTTCCAAGGAATCCTGTCAAGCAGGAGCCTAAACAAGACAAAGTCAGCCCTTTGGAAGTCTAGGATATCAGTTCTGCTGCCCATCTCCTGGCTTCTTTAAGAATAGAGAACTCTATTATTTCATAACTGTCTGAAGTAACAAGAATTTCTACAATTTTTCTTGCAAAGTTATCCCAGTCTACCTCAGGGATAGAACCTGCAAACCAAAGCAAAACAAAACAAAAAAAAAAAAACCCTGGAGATTAGCTGCTGAAAACTGCACTTTGATGAAAAATTAAGGAAAAAATACGAAGAAACCAATTTAATCTCATAATAGAGAAGTTAATTTTCAAATGTTATGAATAAAATGTCTATTTTTCAGTGTATTAAAACTAGTCTACCAACAGGTTCAATCAATGATCCTTCATTCCTGCTTCAGCTCTTGGGAGCAACAAGTATCTTATGTGAATCCATGCACATATGAGACCCACCCATGCTTGACTGATAGCTGTTAGCAAATGACAGATGAGAAAAGAAAAGGAGGAAATGAATAAATATTGAAATTTTTTTATTGACAGAAGTCTTTGAATGCTTTGATGAAATGGTTAAAAAAAATGCCTAGCAATCTTGATAAGCAAATCAAATTGCCCTTTACAGTTTCCTCTGGTTCTGCAAACACTTGCTTCACAGATGAGAACTATCAGTGAATTCAATTGGATGACTAACGATTTTATAAGACCTGAGTATACACAAGATTAGTCTGTAAAATAATAGCACTACCTTACCACAAAATGAACCCACCACCACAAATACCACAGGTTAACAAACCTGACTATTACAAGGGGATAAGTAAATTTTAATGTTTAGAATCCACACGGGAAACCATCAACTTCAACTTTGTTAAACTGTAAATGGTATATGTAATCATCCCAGCCACAGTTCTTAATCATTTCACCAATCAATCAACATATATAAACACTTCTCCATACAGTCATCTAGTCTTAGCTTTAGCACATTTTTTTATATTGGCAAATTGTGGTCATAATGTCTTTCTCACTTTACTCTAGCAGAGGAGCAAAAATTTGGCCACACAAAACACAAATCTGGTATAAAAAATAAGACTGTTTTGCATACCTGTGTTTGGGAATTAGGTACCAACTTGTACATATTCTGGAGTTGTCCATTTACTTTTTTATCTGATTTGACAGAAAAATAAATAAAAACACAGAATTACTTTCTTTGTCCAAAGCAAAGCAAACCAAGTTTATTCACCTTTTTCAATAGCTAAGAAATTTAGGAGGCTTAATTATAAGGTATAAAAGCACACCATGTAACAATTCTGTTTGGTCCTGTTTCTCAAATTATTTGCAAATCCTCCTCTTCACATTTTGACAGAGAGGAAATGAATCATGTATCAGGTAAGAAAACTGAAGTGGTCTTTGGGATTTACTAAGAAGTCAGAGGTGCCTAAGAGGATTCTTTAATAAAATTAATATAGCCACAACACTAATACACAAGGAAGAAACTTATAAGGAATTTCTGCATCCCATCTGTCAGGCTGGTACTAGGACTGGCTAAAAGCAACATATTTTAACATCTCCAATAGTCTTTCTTTTAAGCATGCTCGTCTAAAAGAAAAACATGTTTAGCACTGGCAATAGAGAGCAGGTGTATCACTTCTCTTTGGGTTTCCTTTACCTCAACATATGAGCAAAGTAACCCATGGATTTAATATCTGAAATTTTTCTCTTAGGCTTTTCCTCTTAGTTTCCTAGTATTAGAAGCTTCTTGTGATACAGCTATTAAGTACAGAGGAGAAACAGTCCCTCCCAGCATCTCATATTCTAGCACAATGCTTCAAACTTTGCCTACATCTCCCACCTTTACACTTTTCTGCCCCCTTTGCATCAACAGGCATGTAAACAAGTATCAAGCTAATTGTCATATTTCTTCACAATTCCATCCAAAACAGATAAGCAATAGAAAACAATTCAGCTATAAAGATATATCAATTGAAAGGCATTTAAGTTGACATGCTATCCTGAAAAAAAAATCTTTCAAAGTGATTGATACTTCTCAGGAAGAGGACCTACTACTGGCCGAAAGACAAAGGAAAACTGACAAAAGTTTCACACTGACTTCATGAGAAAATCATGTTATGATGCTCAGAAATAATCTACTTTCATCTCTTTTGATAAATTTTAGTTAAATAAATGTTGAACATTTGCCATGCCTTTTATGTCTTCCTCAAATCATGAATTAAAACCAGATTCTTCTCCCAACCCCTCCCAACAAGTTTAGTATGCAACAAAAATTTGGCCTGTGGATTCAACAAATACAACAACATGCAACAGGAATTTCAGTTTATAGTAATTTATATATTTTTCAGCAAGGAAAGAAAATTTACAGTGAAGGATGTTTGGTCAAGGTTGAAATGCTTCTTAATATATGAAAAGACCTTGGGTTGCTACAAGACAGTAAATTAAAACAAAGTGGCCATTTGTGCTGATTGGTAAACTCCTATGCAGACAGATTTTTACAACTGTATAATAAATGTTCACTCTCTGTTTACTGCCAACAGTTTCTGTATCTACCTACTATGCACTGGCAATATAAAAGGCTTGAATCTGAAAGATGCTGACAACTTTCTGATTAGAAGTTACTTTATCAGCAGACCAGAATGTAATAGCAAGTTCCCTGGATTTAGTTGCTTCAGAAGCATCCACTGAATATAAAAGTCTACATTCTAGGAAAAAAAGTCTCATCTAAATATAAGATGAACTCTTACAAGAACATATCTTTCAACCAAACTCCATCCATCTCCGTAAGTTAAAAGCAAGATTCTCCTGGCCTAATAAAAATGTATAGTGTCTGTAAGAAACAGTACTTAGTAATATATTGGATACAAAGAGCAAATTTGGTGATGCCAGTGAACATTTCAGTCTTGAACACAGTATTAAACTACAAACACTATGCACTCTTCATTCCCCACTATTTTCACTGCTCAAATATATTCCAGCATTTGCTCTACAGATGACTCTAAAATGTTTAAAATGTAGGAAAACCAGCCATTTAGTAAGCCTTCTTTAGAGCTGTGAAACAGAGTTTCTTTTTGTGAGGCAGATATGGGAAAAAGACTGCCACTGTTCTCCATCTTAAGCTCCTGGTATAATGGCATTATTCTGGACTGCCAGAATGACTCTGTGGGCACTGGGCAGATACTTCAAAGGTACAGCTTTCTAATTTATAATGAAGGCCAGCAAAATTCTTTATTAGGGAGTATGAGGACTTTTGCAGTGTTACAAGCCACCCTACTGTTCCCCTTCCTTATCTGCAAGTATATTGAGCTGCAACTCAGCAACAACTTGAAACTAAGGTCCAATAAATTTCAGCTAGAAATCTCACATGAATAATTCTCTCTTATGAGAATTCCCATTCTTTCAAGTCAAGCTGGAAATACTGAGCGTAGGAATTTGCATCATCTTCAGAGCAACATCATGTTCAGAAATAAATGTATGTAAATGCTTGAGAAAAAGAATTTAAATTGGACAATGTCTATTAAGTCCTCTCTTCCTCTCTTCAGAAGGAGGAAGACTCTGCTGCTACCTATTTCCTCCATTGACAACAATAATTCTTTGAATGGTACATGTTTTTTCAAGGGTTAATTAGATGTCACTTTGCCTGCATTACCTGGGGCCTTCAGAGAAAAAGCTTAAAATATGACTGAGAGAACAGCCAGAGATGCCATACACTGCCTCCATGAAAACCCAAACAAAAGCATACGTAACAGCCCATGCTTCAAACACAATTTATATAATTGCTTGACTGAAAATTATCTTCAAATTCAACTTTCAAGCAGAGTCATAAAAGGCCCATTGTGATGCATGCTGGATAGGACAGGCCCTGTCTTGATTTTAAACAGCTTGAACATAAAAGCAGATACAAAAGAAGATTCAAACAAGGATAGTACTTTCCATTGCCTCAAATTAGTAATGATCCTATTATTCAATGCCCAAGGAAAAAGCTTGGATTACAGTCAGAAATATAAACATACACACTCAACACTTAGGTATATCTAATCACTGTTAAAGTTCTACCAACCTGCAACAGATCCTATACTATTTGCAACAAAAGGAGAACATCTTTCAGAAGAGTAAGTGGTGTTTTTTTCAAAACACAAACTATTTCTAGTTTCACTAATTCCTAGAAGAATGTTAGGCCCATAAGGGATAGCATTTAAATAATGAAAACCCAATCAGTAGATTACTCTAAGTAATACCACAATAGAGGTTAAAATACCATCAAGCTGAGTAGCTATTTGATTAATTATTGTCAAATACTTACTAGACAGAACTGTCTTATGATTGAAAGTCTTGCTCCAAACACTATCATCTACGTTGTCTTTAACTCCAAATTCATAAAGAGTGTTCGGCTTCAGATTGTCCACCACTGTCTCTGTAACTGGGCAAAGCTGAAAAACCCATTTCTTGTTTTTATCCTTTTCTCTGTAGCGAACTGTATAGAACCTGCTCGACAAAAGAAAAATAATTTTTTTTCTTCACAAAAATACTCTCTACAACCCTTTTCATTACAAATTGCTAAAATAACTCCTACCCACCATTGTTCTTGTTCTTTCTGGCCCTTTATGGTTATCCAACATCAGAAAAGCCAGCATGTCTTCCCTGAAAATATGCTAGCCCAGTCATCTCCTAGATGCATATATGCTCCCCATCATACAAATCCCAACATTAGGAGTATTATACAAAGAGGAAAAGAAGTCTCCTTATTCACAAGTAACCACGTGTGCAAGGTTCTGACCACAAACTCTAAGCTCATTTTGTAAGCAGTCCCTGTGATTCTGATATGTGCCAGAACTAGTCAATTGAAACACTGGTCTATTAGTCAGGAAGACTCAATCAATTTCTCAAAATCTTCTATATCCATCCAGGGGAAGGTGTTCCCCTCATAATTAGTCCAAAAATATTCTCAAGGGAAAACCAGTAATAGTTGACATTTATACAACACATTCCTCACTCAGTGATCACATCATGTATTGCCCATACTTCAAAGAAGAAAGTAAACCAAGACATTACTTTCAGCAGTTTAAATCAACAACGTGATGCTAACAGATTATGAAATTTTAAAATATTTCTACAGAAATTGCCCAATTCAGTCAAGCAGCACCACCCTGAAAAAGTGTGACTGCAATGCTAACCAGTATAAAACAATGCAATGCAAATGGTGAGTTACAGCACAAGAACTCCACTGCCTGCTACAGTCTCATTTTCAATATACATAATGAATCACTACTAGAATGGGGTGGGGTTTTCTGTTTCTGTAAAAACAAATCTTAGAGAGATTTTTTAATTTTTTAATCCAAGTATTACTGAAAATTTTTATGCATAATGTAAATAAAGCATATTCATTGCCCATATCCATATTACATTTATATCAGTTGAAAAAAGATTAATACCATCCAATTGCATTTTTCCATACTTCAGTAGAGTAAAATAAGGCCATAAAACAAACACAACTCTAGAACACCAGGTACATGCCCAAGAATCATTCACAAGCAAGCAGAGTAAGAAATTTGGGTTGGGAGAATTAAGCCATGTATTATATAGAAAAATATATGGAGAGGAATAAGGGACTTTGACAAACAAAAAAATTTCTTTAATCAACCGAAAAGGTATCAAAAATCCAGATTAAAATGACTTAATGGATCAAATATAATACTGTCAACGAATAAAGCTGGTTTTGCTACACTTATAGAAGAGCAATTTGAGAGTAAACTGTATGTGAAAAATGACTGTTGAGTACAGGGAAATTCCTTCTCCATTATTAAAACACAACCTAAGACAAGGCAAGTACTAATCATGGAAAATATTTTTATACACAAAGATTATCTTTGTTTACATATTTTATCTCATAACTGTCAAATTTATTTTCTTGGCACCAAAAATATAGGTTCTCCTGTTTTAATTGCTACAATTCGGCTCATTCAGGTATTCCACAAGGTTACAAAATTAACACTTATGTTAGCTCACATAACTCTTTTCATTAGTTGTACTACTTTGTGTTCAAAACAAGCCGTAGTCTAACCCAAGCCTTGGCAAGGAAAGAAATATGGTAAGTAGTAAATATCCTCTCTCTTCTTACCAATTCCTGGACTACCAATAATAGTCTGCATCCTTTTTCTGGGGGCTGTGATCTACTCTAATTTCATGTGTCAAGCAATATCAGTTGGACTGACAAAGAACATTTTTAACAAGAAATTATTGGCAAAATTAAAATGAGGAAATTTTCTCTTTTTTTATCATTGAAATCCATTCATACACAGTCACACAGACATTAACAGACAAGAAAGCTTACTTGAAATTTGTCACTAAATTGCAAAGGATATAACAGTAATAAACAAATCCCATCTGCAACATAAATGCATTTTGCTGGACCTCGTAGAATCTCTAGATAGGAGATTTAGAACAGATATAAGTTCTATGATCAAAATGTGAATCATAAGTAGAAGTAATAATCTTCTTCCCAGCTTGCCTGAAAGAGGAAGTTTCATTTGTTTTCATGTTCATCCTTACCTTTTCCTACTTGTTTTAGTTGAATGAGGTAGAAATAAAGCAATTTTATGCGATGGAAAGAAAACAGTATACTGATTCATTTCAGTTATTGAACAGTCTAAATGAACAGCTACATCAGAAAATAGGCGGGAAAAACGCCACCAAAAACCTGTTCATTATGAATAGGCTTTTAAGTGGCTGCTCCCACTTGCTTCTACTGTCAAAAATGTTCTAGTTTTGAATAGTCTCTACACCTGCAAATTCCTTCTCCCTAACATGAACTAAAATACCATGAACACTTGCATGTCAAAAACCATCCTTCCCTAAAATTCAAGATTATTAAAAAATCTGGCAAGATTTTTATAGTTGTGCCAAACTCTGCCATTAGAAACAGAAACATACAGCATAGAAGAAATGTGCTCTCAGCTCCATATTTCCAAGCCTGTAAAAATTTCACCAAGGGTGTAATTATTTCAGTGGAAACTTGCCACAACAAGTACTAAAATCACTGACTGTGATGACAGAATTTCCTCAATCAGTTCAATAAAAAGCAACAAAAATGAAGCTCCATTTCACAATTTGCAAGTCACAATCATTTGAGTATTAAAAATATCCAAATTGTAAACAACACGCACTTTGGGGGAAATGCAATCATCTGTTTATAGAGTATGAATTTAGAAATGCCAAGTTTTGTCATCAAAGAAAAACAACTCATTGTTAAATATGAACAACAAGCTGCTGCATACAGTGCAATTTCAGTGTCTGCCTGAGAGCATTCTACTGATTAAATTTTAATTTCTCCTTTTAATTTTTCCCTTTTTCAAACCTTTCTTTCAGAAAAAATACGGTATCAAACCATCAGCACATAGAATTGAAGACACTAGAAAGCAATAAAACCACACCAAGCGGTGTGGTGCGGTTGACACGCTGGAGGGAAGGGGTGTGCCATCCAGAGGGACCTGGTCAGGCTGGAGAGGTGGGACCGTGCGAACCTCATGGAGTTCAACAAGGCCAAGTGCAAGGTCCTGCACAGGGGTCGAGGCAATCCCAAGCACAGATACAGGCTGGGCAAGGAGTGGATGGAGAGCAGCTCTGAGAACGACTTGGGGGTGTTTGTATGGAAAACTGACCATGAGCCAGCAATGTGTGCTCACAGCCCAGAAAGCCAACCGTGTGCTGAGCTGCACCCAGAGCAGTGTGGGCAGCAGTTCGAGGGAAGGGATTCTCCCCCTCTACTCCACTCTCATGAGACCCCCCCCTGCAGTGCTGGGTCCAGCTCTGGGGGCACCAATAGCAGAAGGACATGGACCTGCTTGAGCAAGTCCAGAGGAGGCCACGAAGATGCTGGGGGGGGCTGGAGCACCTCCCCTGTGAGGACAGGCTGAGAGAGTTGGAGGTGTTCAGCCTGGAGAAGAGAAGGATCCGGGGAGACCTTAGAGCGGCCTCCCAGTACGGAAAGGGGCTACAGGAAAGGTGGGGAGGGACTCTTTATCAGGGGTGTAAGGATAGGATGAGGTGTAACAGTTTTAAACTGACAGAGGGTAGATTTAGATTAGATAGAAGGAAGAAATTATTTCCTGTGAGGGTGGTGAGACGGTGGCAGAGGTTGCCCAGAGCAGCTGTGGCTGCCCCCTCCCTGGCAGTGTTCCAGGCCAGGCTGGACGGGGCTTTGTGGGCTAGTGGAAGGTGTCCCTGCCCATGGCAGGGGGGTGGAACTAGATGGTCTTTAAGGTCCTTTCCAACGTAGCAGTCACAGCATTCATCATAGCATTCTATGATTCTATCAGTGTATAAAAATTCAGTCACCACTCACATGTATCAATTCCCTCTTGGCAGTGACATACACAAAACTTGCACAGCTGACCTGCTATGTGTATCAGAAGCTGCAAAACTGTTTCTCTGGGATTGCAAACATTTAGGAAACCTCTCTCTAGATTCCCTTAAAAAATTATAGAAGGCAGGGTGAAATGGAGTACAGCCACACACACAGGGGAAAGGTACACTACAATGTTTCTCACATAAAACACTTCCCATTATCTCTGTGAGGTAAGAATATGAAAAACTGACTGCAGGGCCCTAATATCTAATATGAAAGTAATACAATATTCAAGTGAAGTGTAATTGGAAAGTCCCAGGAATGCGATTCACAGCTGTGAATGCTAGTCTGATGTTTTTGCAAGGAGGTGGCACATCCGGCACACTGGGGGAGAATCTAGATTCTCAGCACGTATGAAGACCTGCAAATATTTAACTACTTTTAATTTTGATTCTTTGTTTCAGTGAGGGATATGAAAACAGTATATTTTAGCAGAACAGTATTTATTGAATATCACTTATATTCCTATTTACAACAAATACTAATCATAAGATTTCAGGATTCATTTCACTTTTCCAGCTAGCACTCTGTAAAACATTAGAGCTCTTCTGATAACCTCCATAAAAATTAATCTTCTCTCCCTCTCTCCCTAACAGGCAATGTTTCACTCATTAGAAGATACTTCCAAGCAATCCATAATGAGGACTAGAGAAATTTTACCTCCTCCCTTTTACTAGGCAACTGAAAGAACAATAATCTCCAACATTTTAAATAGGTGTCATGAAAAAAAAAAAAAAAAAAAAAAAAAAAAAAAAAAGACAAGGTAAAGAAATAAAAAGCCTACATTCGCCAAAATAGCCTCTCTCCATATGCATTCGTGCAATACCATGAGAAGTTCAATGTTTGATTTCTTGAAACTCTCTACATTAATAAGCTTGAAGTATTCTTTTACAGTATTCTGAAGTGATTACCATACCTGCAAAGTCTACGGAAAAAACTATCAGCTGAATACAAAAGGATGTTTCTATCCTTTCTACATTCCGTTTACATAGTTTTGGTTTTGTTCTTTGTTGTTGGTTGTTGGGGTTTTTTAACTCTACAATGCAAGACAGTGAAACCTTTTCTTTCTCACCTCAGAGTT